TTTGGAAGAATTCATTGTACCACATAGTACCATATCGTGTAAGTATCTAAGGAGCTATTGGTACGATTTTTACAAACCAGCGTTTGCGGCCAAACAATCAAGTGATCAACTGAAAAGCTTTCAGCCGCACAATAAATAAAAGTAGCAAGCGGCTGCCTACTGCATGCCCTGTTCTCTCTATTAATATTCTATTACAGGAGAAACGGCACTTTCCGAAGTATGTACGACAACGACGTTACGAGGTATGTAGATTGCGTACCTAATCAGACAGACGGTCGACGGACGTACAAAAATGCAACTTCAGTGGTATTTAGTGTGACCTTTTTTTAAGAATATTAAATGAATTGAATCTGGATCAGGAAATTTTGAATAGCTCCTATTTTTTTAAATTTTGAATTTTTCCATATTTCCAAAAAACTCATTATGGATCAATGAAGTAATTGAAATACTCTCAGATAACCAATTTCTCTTGAGATCTGATCTTGGCACGTCAATTTCGTGGTTTTGAGGTAGGTATTTTTGAACTTTGTTGTAACATCGGAAACCGCATATAAAATCTTAATCAAAGCGTTACTTACACCTGATCTTGTTTGTGTGTGCATAGATGGCACTGTATCAACCAAAGATATCAACAAATAGATAATCTACTTATCTAATCTTAAGGTTGACATTGCTTAATCTGTCATTTATGAAGGTTTTTAATTGTTAAAATCATCTGAACAGATAAGTCTAAATGAATCCTTGGATAAAAATATCAAGTTTTCACCTTATTTATACACTGTGTCCAGGATAAGGATGTCTATCATGGGGATCTCGAAACCATAGAAGATACGACGATTGTTAAATTAGGGAAATATTGCGCAATTAAACAATCATAGTGTAAAGAAAATCGAAACATTCCGATTACTTCCGATGATATGCCCGAAAAACCAAAATTTGCTGATTTTGTTTTTATTTTTTTATTACGAATTCAACGATGTACGGCACACACAAAAAAAACCCAAAGTTGGAAACTGATGGTTTCAACGGGATGGTGCACTCGAGCACAAAGTCGTTATTTTTCGGCGAAAAAAGTTCTGATATCAACTAAATTTAGTATTTTGTGTGATACTGACAATTTTTTTGGCATATAGCTTGGGCAGTAATCGGAATTTTCAGGTATTCTTTACAGCATGATAATAACTAGTTAATTGGCGCCACTTTTCCCTAATTTGACCATCTTCGTATCTTCTATGGTTTCCAAGATCCCCATCATAGACATCCTTATCTTGAACACAGTGTATATGTAATGTGTGATTTTTATTAAACGGTAGGTTATATGTAGTTAGCAAACTACAGATAATGAATTTAACTTTATCTGTATTTGCTTTGCTTTAAGTGAAACGTGTATTTGTCCAAGAGAGGCAAACTTGGCCCTTGGGTCTTAAAAAGAGCTTTGGGAAGCTACAGACAATTTTGCTATACGTTTTTGATTGATAATTTATACCCGGTTGATCAGAAGATTTAATTAACCAATATGGTAACAACAAAACAAAGTTTCCTCGCAATCGGATGAACGGTTTAGACAGACAGACAGAGAGACATCCATTTTTAATTATATAGATAATAGCTGACCCAACGAACGTTAGCGGCGAACCTCGTATATATGGGTAAATTGATTGCCTAAAATTTCAATATACTTGCCATTACAGTGTTCACATTTTAAGTCTTTTTAGATTTTGTGTTAAAAAATACAGTTTCCAGTCATGGTGGTGATATGTTGCAAAATCACACTGTGCACATTTTAAATATTTGAAAGTATTGTGAGAGAAGAGTTAACAGATTTACAATTAATCGAAATCGCGAATATCCTATGCCTGCTACTTTTTAATTTGACGGTTGGTAACATTGACAACATTTAATTTGACTGTTGTTGTCATTAGTTCTTATATTTATTTTTGTAATATAAGTGTTTTTGTATTTTTCCGATATATTGGATGCTATTCTTCTTCTTTAATGACTAACTCCCATCATTAATTCCATTAATTCCGGCAATACCACTAATTTACAGATAATTCCACTGAAATACCTTTAATTCTACTCCTTTATTTTGACTAATCGTACAGAGTCTTGCCTTGATTTCGGACTTGCGACATAACCGTTCGTCAGTCCGATGGGGTGCGCATGCGCATACTAGTATAGGCATTTTTGTGGCAATAACAATAACATGAATCATAGTTCGCATTTAAAAATTGGTTCTGAAAACTAATCATCCTAAAAGTATGAGATCGGGATCACAGGTGTAAAATATAAATATGTCATAAATTATAGGTTATTAAACGAAGAGGGGCGAAAAAAATCTGTTTTGAGAAATATATATGGGAGGAATTTTGAGAATTTAGAAATAACGAATCCAAATTCCAACGTCCCGCGTTCGATCCACAGGCCCGACAATAACCGATCTTTGGCATTGTTCCTCTCCTCTCCTCTGGGTCGACTCGACTCGGCTTCATTACAAATGAGCATGAGCACCTGGACGTTGGGGTTCACCTAGGAGTAATAATAGGCTGCCGGACATGAGGAGCGGACTACTTACCTCCTTTGAAATTTGTCATTCCTTAGGCCCCATAACGTCGCTACATTCAAAGAAGAAAGTATGAAAAGAGCAGAATCGGTCAACATAACAATAGGTAGATTCCCAATTAGTTCATATTTAAGTAAATAATGGACTTTGGTGCCTCCTTTCATTTAGAAAGTTGTGTTGTTCATTTGATAAAAAAACAGTTACCTATTTCAATTAAATACCCATCATTTTTAAGGGTGAAGGCAATGGAATTATTTGAGGGCAGGGGTCAAAAGAGCCTAGTCCAATCCTGTTTTCGAGAGTTGTACATTGAAAATCTTTGTTCAACAATTTCAAGAGCACTTAACTTCAACCCAAGGTAATAAATTTAGTTTTTAATGCAAGGAGATACAAAGAATAAACTTAGGTGACTAACTTTTTTGCACCAATACTACAGTCACGCATTGGCTTAAAAACTGTCAAAAAGCTTGGGTAGTAGAGAACATATTACAAGGCACATTTGATTATCTGTTTGCATAGATAAAACTAACCAATCACGCAGATTCTTTGATTACGATATTTGTCATTTGTCAAGCAATGCTAGAAATGTGGCCAACTTTACGTAAAATTAACTACTCACGGTCGAAAAAATGTCAGGAGTTTACAATAAAAGTACCATGTGCGAAATTAACCGCTACGTTCGTAATAAAATTGTGTGTCCATTACAAAATGAGAAAAGTAGAAATGGCAACGGCGCCCCCTCCCTCCCAATTAACGCTCTACATAACGATATGATTAAAATAAATGACTAATGTAACACACGTAAAACGCATAATTGTAACAGTGGAACTGGAAGAGAGCGATCATTTTTTTTGTTAGAACAATCAATTGTTAATGGACGATTAGCGACCATTAATGAACACCTTAAACGTTTGTAACGTACATAAATACCGGGTGCTGACGGCCGCACAAATCACAAGGTTGTACGAGAGAAGCGGCTACGGTTGTCTACATTTTTGCGTTTGTTAAGTTCATTGCACGCCAAACAATGTTGCAGTGTGAACACGTCTCGTTATTATAGACATTTTGTCGAAATTCGACTTGCATTCAATATTTAACGTAGATACATTATCAGAGTAAATGTGTATTTAAAAATCAAGGTTACTGTTACGTAATAAAATTTATTCATATGCGTATTTATCCGCCGTAGTGATCATACTAGAATAAATAAAACTACGTGTAGCTGTAGTTGCGGTGTGTGGTAAGAGAAGGCTTAATAAATTTAAGTGTTGCGCGCACCCAATTGGTACCTCTAATCGTTCATAAATATCAACCTACTGTTTTTTGTGTAACACAAAATATGACCCGATTAAAAGCTGTAGCTCACCTGCAAAATACCAAGGTTTTGAGCGATCTGCCAATTCGGTTCCCGAAAAATACTCGGCACGTAACGGACCTGGGCCAACAGAACTACCAGGAAAAAACTAACTAGACACTAAATTATACCACTTTTGTAAGCTCTGACAAAACAACTTTTGAGGGCGACTGTACTTAGAATGCAATGCAACCTACCAGGTGCAACGACACCATTCTTATAAAACCGTTCGCTTCACGGCTAATCTTCCTATAAACACGATTAGATTTTGTTCAAAACAATGCGTTAGAAAGAAACGAAACCATTCCAATTATTGTAGGATGTGAAATTTAGTAACGAAATCGTCAGCATTGCCAATTTTAGGATCGAAATAAGACCTACAACTATTTACGAACACTCACGAACATGCAGCAGAATGATAATTTATAATTGTTTGTTTTTCCGTTTAAAGATTCGAATGCCACGACAACAGCAGGTATAAACATCGAAGTAAAAGTCCAACTCGAATTGACCACCGCGAAAAACTAGCGCAACTAGTTTCTATTGTCGTATTATGCAATAACAAATAACCGAAACAGTTTCACAAAGAGACCCAGCAACAATTACAAAAAAAATACTCACTTGCTTATCATTTAACAACTACTACATAAATGTTAATAAATGAAAAATGTTACGTAAAGACAGTAATTTGAAGGTCACCAACTGAATAAAATAACAATATGTGAATTAGTTAATTATGAAAAGCGCGTCATATCGCAGTGGCGTCCATTAATTTTGATAATATTAACCTTTACAGTTTACCGCACTCAGTCAACGCCACCTACTGATTGTATCAATAATTCTACTAATTTGAAAATAAAAGAGAATCGTATTGAAAAATATGCCGTTCGTCATCGTCGATTAAAACCGCTCGTCGAGATATGCGCTTATCGAGGAATTCTTAAAAGCTTCTTTACACGTTCCCGATCGTATTTTTAGAGTTATATGTATAATTTACAGGACGGGGAGAGTGGGAAGCGTTAATTTTAGATCTGCCTTTGTACAATAATGACGACTAAAAGGAGGAATGAGAATGACACTCACCCTCGCACCAAGGAACCGCGCCTCTAGGAGCTCCTGTTTCCGGGGGTCGAGCACCGCCTGGAATTGCTCCATCTTCACGCCAGCGCCTGCAACAACGCCGATGTCACTCACACCTCTGATTTTAATTGGGGATCCCTAACGTATGTGCGATGAAAGTTCAAGGCAAAACTGGCCAAGTTTCGACATTACAAAACTGACAATAGCATAGACATACGTAATAACTATTTTGATCTTGACGTGTTTGGTGGGTGAAAGGGATGCTTGGGAAACAATAAAAAAGTGCATCTAAACATACAATTTGATTTGAACAATAAGCAACGAAATTAGTAATGGGGGGTTGTGGTCTGGACTGACTCATCATCGGCATAGTCATGAGATGACATTAATTTCCCACTGTAATACTATAAGCAAATAGTTTTAAAGCTCCAATCTGGGGTCCCACAAGGTTCCGTTTGGGTCCAATATTGTCCTTAATTTTTATTAATGATTTTACTGCTTGCAAATTATAAAGGCACCATGACATTTCCTGATGACACGCCACTTTACACAATTATATCTATTACATACCAGTTTTTCAAATAAACCGAGGGTCACAAATGTTTTGTTTGTGTGTTTTTTTAAATTATTTTGTCGAGATCCATTCCGTTTTGTTAAAATGTTTCCAAATTCCTACGCCAAGACGACACAAGCCTAAACGGAAGTGTAAGGTGAGCAAGAACTTAGCGAAATTCCATGTATGAGTTCCTTAAGAATTTAGGAACAAATTTGTCGAACAGTTTTTCAATACGAACCTTTGGAACGAATGCGCCTTGGAGGAAGTGCAAACTACATTCCTAGATACATACATAATTTGAAATATGTAAAGCTATTCGATAAAATTAATCAACCTGACGCAATTGTTTAAAAAGTGATTCAACTTATTACCTTCTAAGGTAAGTAAAAAAAAAGGTTTCTGTTTTCGGCTGATCTGATGTTTTTGACGAGCCATACTTCCAGCGAAGGATAATTGACCCAAATATTAATTTGCGAAACAAATTATTTTCGAAAATGCCTTTACCTGCCTGAAGGGATACGAATACAATTGCTGCACGGGCCTTTTACCGACACATAATTTTTTAGGTTCTTTTTCGAAGAAAAATTTTTAATTGAGTTTCACCAAATTCCATATTTTTTTAAAATTTCAAATGTCACCGCCACAAATAATTTACAACTCTAAAAAACCTTGACAGATGGCGAAGGACAAACAATTTTTTTTCGAAAAAGCATGCCCAATATCCTATCCAAAGATACTCAAAAATCGAGTCAAAAATATTTGAAGTTTATGTAATTAATGATACAAATTGAAGTAACGCTAATAATAAGAATGCTTCCATATATCACAGGCGACTTTCAAGTATGCCCAAGCCAGTAGCTGAATGAACTCGTGGATGATCCACATATTATTATTGTTGTTTGAACTTGTTGTAATTGTGATACAATATTGAAATTTTCATCGTTTCTTACTGTGAAATAAATACAAATGTCACTTGTCGCGGGCAGTAGACAGTCTGTTTCAAATCAAGGCGGCACTATTACTAACTTTCTTAGTTGTGTAGTTATAAAGATGGTTAAATGATCAAAATTGCAAATTTTTATCTACAGAGTCCAAATCTGTAATTTTAAGTATTTTGGGTATGGTGCATTAAGAACGTTTATAGAGAATAATAAGCTGTGATATATGGTATAATATACAGAGTGTTTCTTATAAAAAGTCACATGTTGGTTATTTGAAATGTGATGTTTTGTTTTTTTTGAAATTACAAATATGGATTCAGTAGAAAAAATACACAATTTTAGTAATTTAACCGTTGCTAACTCTACAACTAAGAAAGTTAGCAATAGTGGCGACTTAATTTGAAACAGACTGTATAGAGTTTGAAAGATCTTGTAAGAATCATTAACATTAAGAGTTAATATGGTTCATCTACGAGACACCGCGAACAATATTTAGAACAAAACATAAGTTTTTGTATAAGTACCAGGGACACTATCATGCTAATAAGGAAAAGTCCAACAACGATACCGAAACTGGATTTTTTCCAAAACCATTTTTTTGTCTATTTCTCAACTGGAAATGGAAAAAAAACTTTTTTGTTCGAAATTATGAGATAATGCTAATGGGCCGTCCATTTCCGACCCCTTAAGATAGGAAAAGTGGAAACAAAATTTGGCCTTTTCAGTTTTGTGGTGATATCTGTTATTTTCAAAAATTTCAAATGCGTTTTTTCCCTTATTTAATCTACCTTGTAGGTCTGTTGCCGAAAACAGAATTCGAAAATTTTTGTAATTCTTTGTTTTGATTTCGAAAATTTCTCAAATACAACAATTCAGTGGAAATCATGATCAAAACGTTTTTTGCACTTCCTTTAGGGGTCCGCATTTTGAGGTACGAACAAAAAAAAATTACAAAATACCGCATAAGATTTAAAAAGTTACTGTAGAGAATATTCTAGAGATCTCAATAGATATCAAGGCGCCATAAAAGATTACTCATCGACCATAAGAAACGAAAACGGACGTCCCGCAGTCTATCCGGGAAATATGACGTGTTTGTTCTAGAATATTCGAGACCGTTCGACAGCTTTCGAGAAAGATGGGCGTTTGCTATTTAAGCAAATCGAATTGTGCTTGAAGTACGTGTGATGTTAAAAATGTAAATAATAATCACTGTTATAAATGAATCCCATAATTTAAGACTGTTATAAGTTTATTGTTAGTTAATTGTAAATAAATAAATCACGTAATTAAATTTACGTAACCATCCCTCTATTATGTCATCGTTGCTATCAGAAAATTTCTCTAATTTCTATAATGAACATATTGCAAAAATTTCGGGTCGATAACGAAATGCATAAAAGGAGTCATCTGTCAGATTCCTATACTCTGTTGTATTGATTTATTAGCGATACCGTATTATAAATGTGTACTAAAAGGGTCCAGATCAGTAAAATGTCATTACATTTTGCACGATCACTCCAAATGACATTTTCCACGGAATATACAAGTGAATTGTGTAACAAATAGAACAGTATGCTCGCAATTATTTCTCCTCAGTTCAACTGACATTTTATGAGAAATTGCTTTTTTAAAATTTTGGACCACTTCAGAATTGATAAATTTAAGACATAACAATTTACTCTAAACGTTCAGATATTATAATTGCTATACGGAGTTGCTCAAAATGAGCACATTTCAACATCACCTCACGCTAACCATTTCGCAATGACGTAAGCTTATCACTAGAAGATTTAAACTATACTGTCACACAAATAAATTTTACTAAAGCAAACGCATTCTGTAGCAATAACGATTTCGAAGGGTAATGCAAATTGTAAATGTCTACTTTTTAATCATCTATGAGTGCTTGCTTGCTGCTAACATTTACAATATTGGACCCAAGACGGAGCCTTGCGATACTCCAACAGTAACAGGGCTGCAATAAACATCAGGTAGGTAAACTATTTGATTGGCAATGAAATAGAAAACTCTGTTACGATAATAATTAGCCAAAATAACTTACTATAGGAAGCAATTTAGCATTTGGACAACTTTCGGTGCATACGTTCGCATAGTTGCGTAAAAAATGTCGTTTGCGTACTTCTCATTTGGGTAACTTTCCGCTTCGAGTCGCTTGGAGCACCACAGACCTACGCAAAAGATGATGCAAATTACGAGAACAATGGATCGCAAAATTTTACCATTTACATTTAAAACCGTTCATTTCAACTGACATAAGGCACGGTTGATTGCCAATTTTCCTGGATACAAAAGCAACTGGCATGAATCTGTTGTAGTTAGTGTAAACTTTGAGATGTTGATACAATTTAGAGAAGTGGCAAATCTCGAGATAATAATATAAAAAGCGTATGTCGTTTTAATTGGAATGATCGTGTAAGTGCGGCAACGTTGAGTTGGGGACCTGCACCGTACGATTGTGAGAAAACTTAAAACAGGTAGAAGTACGTAATGCCATCTTTATTAAGATTGACGTAAATAATGAGCAATAGGAAAAGCTCCAACTAATAATAGTCTCAATATGGCGGGTACGGAAGTGGCCCGGGTGTGACGTCATGACTATCTAGCGTGCCGTGTCAACATTGATCGGGAAAGGGGTGGACCCACCCACTAAGCACCCCCAATTACAACCGTCAGATGGAGCCAGGGTAAAATTGAAAAAGTTCTTCTCGAAAGAAAGTATCCCAGGAACGAAATCTGGGGCCTTATACAAAATTCGCTTTAGATTAGGTATTAAAACCTCGACCGATACTGGTCGTTATTTATAAATAGCGTAAAAAATACACGTGATAACCTTAGAATGTTATGTTCAGCTGAGGTCAATCGCGTACAATGCCAGAGAAAAAATGTTGAATTTATGTAAAGGCCAGTCCAGACAGGAGTAGGTGGGACAAACTAAATGGACAATGTTCACACAGTAGTATCCGGTTTGTTTGCCATAACTACTATCCGTATCATGTTTACCAGAAGAAAAGTTGATCCTTAGTTTAAATTGGATGTTTTAACAGGCAATTTAACACTTACGGTCCTCTGCTTTGCAACTCGAACTGTTATTTTACATACACACTATAATCTGCACACTTAAAACGTAAAGCACCTATTTTGGTTTATCTGGCCTGTTTGCAATGGCATCTAATCTTTTTGTTTTTATCTCCGATAACCCCCTTATCTTACTTCCAGTTTCAATTTAAATGCCATTGAATAGCGAATTTTTCCTTGAATTTAACTTTGGAAGAGCGTGCGAAGTTCACGCTCTCCTCGCACTAAAATTATGAGGTAAACTGAGAAATTTTGATAAATCAACGGATCATCGCCGATAGCAGACTTTTGTCGTACACGTGCGTACCTAATGTCGGAAAAACAAAGTGCCAAACTGGAAAAGGCGTTGGAGGTAGAGAGGCAAGAATGTAATGAATACGCCTGTCGAGACAAAGCAAAGTTTCTTCAATTCTTGTTAATTATTTAAGTTAATTTCATCTCAGTTGTTCGAATTGAAAACTGCGACCTAACTGCTAACTTAATGCCCTGTTGC